CCCACTCTCTCCACTCCTATTCAATATAGTCCTGGAATTCCTAGCCAGAGCAGTAAGGCAAGAAGAAGAAATAAAAGGAATACAAATAGGGAAAGCAACTGTCAAAATATCCCTCTTTGCAGACGACATGATCCTATACCTCAAAGACCCAAAAAACTCTACCCAAAAACTCCTAGACAGCATAAACAGCTTCAGCAATGTGGCAGGATACAAAATCAACTTACAAAAATCATTAGCTTTTCTATATACCAACAATGAACAAATTGAGAAAGAATATACTAAAACAATTCCATTTACAATAGCCTCAAACCTCTGAAGAAAGAGATTGAAGACTGCAGGAGGTGGAAAGATCTTCTATGCTCATGGATTGGTAGAATCAACATAGTAAAAATGGCTATACTGCCAAAAGCAATCTACATGTTTAACGCAATTCCCATAACAATCCCAGTGACATTCATCACAGAGATTAAAAAAATCTACCCTAAAGTTTCATTTGGAAACACAAGAGACCACGAATAGCCAAGGTAATACTCAGCAAAAAGAGCAATGTTGGAGGTATCACAATACCTGACTTCAAACAATATTACAGTGCAAATAGCAATAAAAACAGCATGGCACTGGCACAAAACAGATATGAAGACCAGTGGAACAGAATAGAGGACCCGGATATGAATCCACACAGCTATGCCCACTATATTTTTGACAAAGTCACCAAAAACATACTATGGAAAATAGACAGCCTCTTCAACACATGTTGCTGGGAAAAGTGGTTATTTGCCTGCAGAAAAATAAAACTAGATCCATGTCTAACACCCTGTACTAGTATCAACTCAAAATGGATCAAGGACCTTAATATCAGACCTGAAACTCTGAAACTAGTACACAAAAGAGCAGGGAATACTCTGGAAACAATAGGTATAGACAAGGACTTCCTCAATAGAACTTAGCAGCTCAGCAACTAAGAGAAAGAATGGAAAAATGGGAGTACATGAAATTAAAATCTTCTGCACAAAGAATGAAATGTTATCATTCGCTGGTAAATGGATGGAATTGGAGAACATCATTCTGAGTGAGGTTAACCTGGCCCAAAAGACCAAAAATCGTATGTTCTCCCTCATATGCAGACATTAGATCAAGGGCAAACACAACAAGGGGATTGGACTTTGAGCACATGATAAAAGCGAGAGCACACAAAGGAGGGGTGAGGATAGGTAAGACACCTAAAAAATTAGCTAGCATTTGTTGCCCTTAACGCAGAGAAACTAAAGCAGATACCTTAAAAGCAACGGAGGCCAATAGGAAAAGGGACCAGGATCTAGAGAAAAGGTGAGATCAAAAAGAATTAACCTAGAAGGCAACACACACGTACAGGAAATTAATGTGAGTCAACTCCCTGTATAGCTATCCTTATCTCAACCAGCAAAAACACTTGTTCCTTCCTATTATTGCTTATACTCTCTCTCCAACAATATTAGAGATAAGGGCAAAATAGTTTCTGCTGGGTATTGAGGGGTTTGGGGGGGAGAGGGAGGGGTGGAGTGGGTGGTATGGGAGGGGGTGGGGGCGGAGGGAGAAATGATCCAAGCCGTGTATGCACATATGAATAATAAAACAATAAAAAAAAGCAAAAAAAAAAAGGAAGTCCTAAAGGAATAAAAAAATAAAATCTTCTGCACAACAAAAGAAATGGTTTCTAAACTGAAGAGACCACCCCTAGAATGGGAGAAAATATTTGCTAGCTATACATCAGACAAAGGACTGATAACCAGAATATACAGGGAACTCAAAAACTAAACTCCCCCCAAATCAATGAACCAATAAAAATATGGGCAACTGAACTAAACAGAACTTTTTCAAAGGAAGAAATTCAAATGGCCAAAAAACACATGAAAAAATGTTCACCATCTCTGGCCATCAAGGAAATGCAAATCGAAACCACACTAAGATTCCACCTCACCCCTGTTAGAATAGAACATCAATACCAACAAATGTTAGTGAGGATGTGGGGAAAAAGCAGCCCTCATACACTGCTGGTGGGAATGTAAGCTAGTACAACCACTCTGGAAAACAATATGGAGGCTTCTTAGAAAACTAAATATAGATCTGATCTAGCAATACCTCTCCTAGGGAGATACCCAAAGGAATGTGACTCAGGTTATTCCGGAGGCACCTGCACACCCATGTTTATTGCAGCACTATTCACAATAGCCAAATTATGAAAACAGCCAAGATGCCCCACTACTGACAAATGAATTAAGAAAATGTTGTATTTATACACAATGGAATTTTACTCAGCCATGAAAAAGAATGAAATCTTGTCATTTGCAAGTAAATGTATGGAACCAGAGAACATCATCTTAAGCAAAGTTAGCCAGGCTCAGAAGACCAAAAATCGTATGTTCTCCCTCATATTCGGACTTTAGACCTAAAACAAATGCAATAATACTATTGGACTTGGGTCACACACTAAGGGGAGAGCACATACAGGAGGAATAGGGAAAGGGAGGAAACCCAAAACTTGAAAGTGTTTGATGTGCCCACTATAGAGGAGCTAATATAGTAACCTTAAACTGACAGAGGTCACTATGGAAGGTGACCAGGAAGTAGTGAAGAGGTCTGGCAGAGATGAACCAATTTGAGTTATAATACACATGTTCATGGAAGCAATGCTAGGAATCTCTCTCTATAGCTATCCTTATGTCAAACTAGCAAAAACACTAT